CCAATATAGTTTCTACAGTCAAACCTGGAAATATTTGGGAGTTTAAATGTTTATTTATTTATCCATCTTTTCTTAAACAAATATTTGTTAAGTCACTTTTTTCAAGCTATATAAAATGGTGTTTAAAAGTCTTATTCAGTATCAAAAATCATGGAAACTAATTGGTCAAAGCTGAGAGCTCTCTGAAATGGATGTTTAACGAACAAATCAGCCCTTATTTCACTATTGCTAATTTTTTCCACTTTTTTTTATTATTTTTTTTAGAAAGTGTCAAATTGCAGTTAAGTTATGCTGTCTGTCTGTCTGTCTGTCCTCCCACAGATCACGAAGGAAAACAGAGACGTGATCTTCGATGACATTGTCTCGGCTGTACAAGTGTGCCTGAAGAAGTAAACGAGGAGGAGCATATTTTAATGATAATTGTCATTTTTGTTTGCCGACAAGCCCTTCAGGAGCTCAGTTCGTTCATACAGTGAAGCGAGTCACACGTGTGTAATGTATGCGTGTGATTAAGCATCTTTCTCTCCAGCACGTCTCATAATGGACAGAGCTCTGCATTATTGATTGGAAGCGAGCGTGTGAGACCGTCCTGGAGGAGCGACTGAGATGAACAGAGGTGATGCCCTGCGAACACTCATCAGCCCTTAAATGTTTTCAGTGGGACAGAGAGGCGCGACCTTTCCTCGTGAGCTTCCTGTATGTACGTTTCCCATTAAACAGGAAAATAAATTCATATTTGAGAGGACAACACTGTCAGGCTTCCAGATGTTTTATTTACTTTTACCATAAATATGGAAACATGTTCCTGAATATGTTTAAAAGATGATATACTATCTGTTCTTGACAAAAAAAGTACAATAAATGCATATAAGTTATACATGTCATTATTCACACTGAAAACTTGTATGCATAATACATTTGAGAACTACAACTTTTGACAGAATAACAACTTCAATTTAGTCTTTTCCTTTCACAAAGTTAAAAAATGACTTCAGAAGTTTTGGAGTATCCACTACCGTTACTGAGTTTTTTT